ATACAGCATAGCCGAACCGGATGTTGCTTACGATTAGCATCAGGGATTTGGTAGGAATCAATTTCACCAGCACGCCTCATTATTGGACTTCGCCCGCGACAACCGATAGTCGTCAAGATGCGGCGACAGCTACTCCTCATCTGTGCGCTCCTCCTCCTCGTCGTTCAGCTTCCCGGCGCTCATGCTCAAGAGGTACAGAGTTTTGTTTTCAAATTGAAACGGCTGTTTTAATGTGGATCTTATGATAGCAGCAAATTTCTTTTACAGGGCTGCCCCCCGGATGGCTACGGTCGTCCTCTCGCGTGCTTCGTCGTCAGGGATTCAGAGCAGCGGTCGGCCGCCGATGTAGGTTTCAACTTTCTCTCGCTTTCTCTCTCTCTCTCCCTCTCTCTCTCCCTCTCTCTCCCTCGCTCTCTCTCGCTCTCTCACTCTCTTTCTCTCGCACTATCTGCCTCTCTTTCTCTCGGTCTCTCTATCTCTCTTTCTCTCTCGCTCTCTCTATATCTCACGCTCCCTCACTCTCTCTCACTCTCGCTGTTTCAGAATGCCCTCTGCCACTGCCCTGTGGCCCCCGATGCAGTCTGCGACAACCATTCGCCCATCAAGGTAATAATCGTCACTCATTTGTATCAAAACCAGATGGTTACAGTCGCTTCGCGACTGCAACCATCTGGCCTTCGGGCTACCCTACATGTCCCACTCCACCACATCCTTTCCCACCTCCATCAATAGCCCCCATAGCTGAAATCCCCGTCAAAAACTACCTAAATACCTTCCTGATGGCTTCAGATACCCCCCATGGCTGAAATCCCCTTCAAAAACTACCTAAATACCTTCCTGATGGCTTCAGATACCCCCCATGGCTGAAATCCCCTTCAAAAACTACCTAAATACCTTCCTGATGGCTTCAGATACCCCCCATGGCTGAAATCCCCTTCAAAAACTACCTAAATACCTTCCTGATGGCTTCAGATACCCCCCATGGCTGAAATCCCCTTCAAAAACTACCTAAATACCTTCCTGATGGCTTCAGATACCCCCATGGCTGAAATCCCTTCAAAAACTACCTAAATACCTTCCTGATGGCTTCAGATACCCCCCATGGCTGAAATCCCCTTCAAAAACTACCTAAATACCTTCCTGATGGCTTCAGATACCCCCATGGCTGAAATCCCCTTCAAAAACTACCTAAATACCTTCCTGATGGCTTCAGATACCCCCATGGCTGAAATCCCTTCAAAAACTACCTAAATACCTTCCTGATGGCTTCAGATACCCCCCCATGGCTGAAATCCCCTTCAAAAACTACCTAAATACCTTCCTGATGGCTTCAGATACCCCCATGGCTGAAATCCCTTCAAAAACTACCTAAATACCTTCCTGATGGCTTCAGATACCCCCATGGCTGAAATCCCCTTCAAAAACTACCTAAATACCTTCCTGATGGCTTCAGATACCCCCCATGGCTGAAATCCCCTTCAAAAACTACCTAAATACCTTCCTGATGGCTTCAGATACCCCCCATGGCTGAAATCCCCTTCAAAAACTACCTAAATACCTTCCTGATGGCTTCAGATACCCCCCCATGGCTGAAATCCCTTCAAAAACTACCTAAATACCTTCCTGATGGCTTCAGATACCCCCCATGGCTGAAATCCCCTTCAAAAACTACCTAAATACCTTCCCGATAGCTTCAGATACCCCCCATGGCTGAAATCCCCTTCAAAAACTACCTAAATACCTTCCTGATGGCTTCAGATACCCCCATGGCTGAAATCCCTTCAAAAACTACCTAAATACCTTCCTGATGGCTTCAGATACCCCCCATGGCTGAAATCCCCTTCAAAAACTACCTAAATACCTTCCTGATGGCTTCAGATACCCCCCATGGCTGAAATCCCCTTCAAAAACTACCTAAATACCTTCCCGATAGCTTCAGATACCCCCCCATGGCTGAAATCCCTTCAAAAACTACCTAAATACCTTCCTGATGGCTTCAGATACCCCCCATGGCTGAAATCCCCTTCAAAAACTACCTAAATACCTTCCTGATGGCTTCAGATACCCCCCATGGCTGAAATCCCCTTCAAAAACTACCTAAATACCTTCCTGGTGGCTTCAGATACCCCCCATGGCTGAAATCCCCTTCAAAAACTACCTAAATACCTTCCCGATAGCTTCAGATACCCCCCATGGCTGAAATCCCCTTCAAAAACTACCTAAATACCTTCCTGATGGCTTCAGATACCCCCCATGGCTGAAATCCCCTTCAAAAACTACCTAAATACCTTCATGATGGCTTTAGATACTTTAAATAATTTAAATAATTAATTAACATAATTAAAAAGTATTAAAAAGTATTAAAGTAACTTAAAAAAGCGATCTGGGTGCGCGAAGGGGCCTGGGGAAGAGGGGCGAAGGGAAAGGGGCGTGGCCTAGGGGCCCCCACTCCTTTTAGTAAGGAAAAACTTTCAAAGTTAATTTTAATAATTTAAACTAAAAGTTTTTCATAATTTTTTTATCAGTTTGGGGGTTTCTGACGGCGCTCTATCCGAATCCGAAGAGAGCTAAGCTCTAGCTCTTTTCCCCTTCGAGTTGAATTCGGCTTCAGACGGACGGACAGACAGACAGACAGACGCGTCAAGAAAATTATTATAGTTGATCGCTGAATTTAGATATTCAACAAGACGCTGTGGCTGAACTGCAACTTCGACCTGTTCATCGAGAAAGAAGGGGGATGCTCGACGAAGGATCAGCCGAAAGATGGGCCGAAGGGAATCTGTCTGGCAGGATGGGAGCACGCCGCCGTTCCGCCCGATCCCACCACTACTACATCGGTTTGGCAAGGTCATAATCTTGGGATACGGATTTTAGACGACAACCACCACCACCACGACAACTACGACAACTACCACCACAACGACGACCACTACAACAACGACCACCACCACTACAACGACCACCACTACAACGACCACCACTACAACGACCACCACCACAACGACCACCACGACCACCACGATTACCTGGCCTCCGTTTGGCGTTTTCGAGCTCAAACCGAATGCCCGAAAGGTCGGTGGTTGAAATGGGAGGCAGGGGCAACCTAGCAAAACAAGCTGATTCGGGGAAACGCCAAAATCCCAATAAATAAAATCCCGACAGCCATGTTTAACAATCTCTACAATTTTTGATGTAAAGAAAAAAGTTTGTTATAGTAATTCGAGCACAGCGAAAATTTGGAGATATTCGACGCATCAATAGGTCGCATGGCTGAAAACTTACGTCTGGGGGGATCAACCAGACTTTAACCCATCTTATTTTTGCAGTGCACTCCCTCGTCTAACACTACCGACACGTGCGTCAACTGCAAAACGGGAGAACGCAGACCTGACGAGAGGAACATCCAAACGGGTCGCTGTCCAAAGTGTGAAGGGATTGTCGCCGAAGATTGTTCGGTATGCTCCATAGATCCCCCACCCAGCAGAGGAGTATTTCCGGAGTGGAAACCAATTTTTTTCCTAGCGTACCCGGTTCGCCTAGTAATAAAATATAGTGTTTTTGCATTGTTTTTAGTATTAAAAGTTGAAAAACTTTCGAAAAAGCTATTAAATGTTTGAAAAGGTCGAAAATTGGGAATTTTGAAAAAAAATCAAATTTTGTGACCTAAAATTAAATTTTTTAATGAAGAATTTATTTAGTTTTTATGCTTAGGAATCGTTAAAAATAACTTAGAAACTCATCCGCTATTTCCAAAAAAAAATTAGGTTTGGGCCTAAAAAATCGGCTTCTGTCTCATCCAAGCGGTCTTTTTTTCTCAAATGGCTTTCAAAAAACTGGCCTTGGGTTGCCAGCAAAGATGTAAAAATTCGGAAAATGGGGGTTTTTGTTAAAACACTTGCATGACAAATGCATCGAACCATCTGATCAGAGGAGGTTGATTTCAGTGCGATGACAGGGATCCGTATTGCATGAACTGTGCTCGGCCCGAATGGCAAGATCATCAGGACTGCCATAGGTGCGAGTGGGGTGAAAATCCCGATCATCCCTCCTGCCAAATCATGTGCCTCGTACCCGGCGAAGGGGTAAGCAACAAACTTGTTCGCGCCCTTCCGGCTACCGGAGTGTCGATTGAGTTTCTGGAATCGGCGCTGTAATGCTATTTTTCAGCCAAAACTTTCGTATATGTCGAGGGATCCACGCTGTCGATACCACCATCTTTATCCCACGTATGCGCATCGAAAGCCTGGAAACGAAAAATGGGTGGGCCAGCCGTCTTGCAAGGGAATCCTGGGCAAAACTTCCAAGGCCCCTAACTTTTTATACTTCGTACTTTTTATAATTCCGAAAATAAAAAAGGTGTTTCGACCTAAATGACGGATTTTCGACACAAAATTATGAATTTTTTGATTGTTTACCACTTAAAATAGTTACATTTCTTTTCCAAACAGTGTGAGAACCCGTAGTATTACTTTACTTGACATCTTTGGACACGCCGAAGGATTGGTGGCTATTTTAACCATGCCACAAGCTCCTAGTTTTCACATCAACCGAGAGGGATGACATGATAAAAGGGCGTTTCCTGTTTTCAACTGATAAAGTAGAAACTGGGATAATTGAGGCGTCCTTCCCGGACCCTGCACTTCGTTTACCCGACTTCTTTTGCACAATCACTTCCAGCTTTACTCACCCTACGAAGGCCCTCACTACAAGCCAGAGAAGGTTCGTTGCTGTGTAATAATAGTTTTCTCGGATAACCTTTGTCGAGACACTATAACCAAGATTCTGCAGCGCCTCCGTCGTGACGTTGCGGCTTCTGGAGCGCCAATCAAGCGGATCCGTCTTCGTCAGCGCACCAAGCGAGATGACGACCCGAACGTGTTCATCTACTACCCGATCAATCCCACTTACAACGCCAAGTGCCGCCGGGAAGATTTTGACAAACTGGTTTGTCGTTCCTTTTCCTACTTGAGTTTTGACTTTAGACTGCGAACGAACTGGCGATGGCGTCGATGAAGCTGCATTTTGGATGTTACGAAGGGACATGGTGCGAGGAGCAGAATGCCTTTCCTAGGTATCATCACAATTCTTTCCTTCCAATCATTCTCCATCCCTTTCAAGTGAAATCTTGGCCAATGCCTCACTGGCCCGCATCTGCTACCCGCGTCCGTTGAAGACCTACATCCTCGGCAAGGGCAGATACAAGCCGGTGAGTATCGTTTTGTAGAGAATCACATGGCGGTGACAATTCCGCGTCCGAAGTATGATGTATTGAGTATTTTCAGTGGTGCACCGATCCTCACGGCAATCAGTTCGAGCCGAAGAATGTGGCGAGTTGGGGATGTATGGTACTGCCGTTCTGCAAACTGGACCAACCGGGAGAATTCGATGAGTCAGTCCGCATCACAGTCTCATCCATTATCCCCTGTATTTTACAGACAAAAATACCTGAGACCTGTAGCTGAAAACGGAGATCTGCTGAACTGCATGGATATTTGTCCAAGAAACCAGAATGGCCGTGGATTGACGGACAAACCGGATTGTCGACCCATCCCTAGCAATCCGGAAAACGACTATTTCGGTGTCCTCAGCATTACGGTAGATATCTCTTCTGATTCGCCACAATACTCTTTACAGGAAAAGATGGATTGGTGTGACGCGGAGAAGTCGACTCACAAAGCCCCGTGGTCACTCAACCCACCGTGCAATCCGATTCCGCAGTGTCGAGGAAATGTCGAAGGACGTGCTGTGGGTTTTCTAGTCGTCATTCAGACAGTAGATGATCATCTACCACGAGATAATTGCCGTATTTCAGCCGGATGCGAGGGATTGGCGCAAGAATCTGCTATACTACCAGAAAAATGTCGACGGGGTTCCATGCGTCGTCTACAAGCAGTGCAGTGCTTTGACGGAAGAGGAGAGGATGAAGGTGAGAGACTTGTGAAGGGATGTAGGTAGATGAACACTTCTTTCAGTACCATTGCGTCGGCTCGACTATGACAACGAGCACGACAAAAGCCTCGACGACGACAACGGCAAAGACGACTGCAAAGACAACGACCGAGAAACCGAATGACGGGCTGGGGGATGAGGTCATCCTGATTGCAGGTAGAGTATCCGGTCGTACTTGTTAAACTCCTTTCTTCAGCTTTGGGTGGCGCTCTGCTGCTGTTCATCATCCTGACCGTCATCGTGTTGTGCTGCTGTCTGAAGAAGAAGGACAAGGGCCCGAAGGGAAAGAAGCCGATTGTCGATGACATGGTGGGTAGAGAGGCGTTAAAAGGCGATGTCCCAGTCACCCGAACTAGCTTGGTACAGTTTTTTTGGACCCTGTTTTTTTGACGCCATCTAAAAGAGTGTAGTCGAATTAGTAGGGCTGCATAGTTTTGAAAGTTTAAAATGTCGATTTTCGGGGTTTAAATGGCTGTTAAAGTTGCGTACCACGAAATATTATCTCGAAAAATACTCATCAGAAAAATCTGAAAATTTGTGACAATACGAATTTTAGGGTTCTGATCATTTCTCTAATACATTGCAACACCTGAAAATGACTAGAACATGGTTAAATCGTGTACTCAAAAGAGTTTTTTGCAATTTCCAGACGTAGGACAGTCGGCCGCCCGTTGAAACTATCATAGAAAGATGCGCGCGAAAATTCTGCATCGAATGGTGTATCGCTTATGGAGCGGCCAGCTGTCCGCATATCTTAAAAATTGCGTTTTATGTGCGAAAAACGGTGATTTTTGTGTGGAATCTGGGACTGGAAAGGCGAGAGAGTGCGGGCGGCGCAGAGGGGCGAGACAGCGAGGGTGCTCGAGGTGGCTGCTCTCTTGCAGCATCCGAGCGGCTCCCCCAGGGCCGCTCGCTGTCCGTCGGGGCTCTCTGCCCGTCCCCCACTATCTCGCCTCCCAGACGCCCGAAAACATGCAAAAATCGTCGTTTTTCGCACATAAAACGCAATTTTTAAGATATGCGGACAGCTGGCCGCTCCATAAGCGATACAGCATTCGATGGAGAATTTTCGCGCGCATCTTTCTACGATAGTTTCAACGGGCGGCCGACTGGGCCAAATGGGCCAAATTTCAAGCTGCCATATCTCGGCCATCCAGTGTCCAATTTTGATGGTCTCAACATTTATCGATATCTACTCCTTGAGATCTATCGATTGGCGTTAAAGGTATTGCATGCAACATGCTCTATGCAGAGATAACTTGATGGCCGAGATATGGCAGCTTGAAATTTGGCCCATTCCTTAAAACTTTTCTCGATTTCCCATACATTTCCAAAACTTTGACGGACAGGTGCCGAAAATTACCGCTTTGTTTTTGGACTAGCGGCGCGGATTTTGACAAAATGTATGGGATTTCGGGATAAGTTCTAAGAAATGGGCTAAATTTCAAGGGACCATATCTCGGCCATCCGGTGTCCGATTTTGATGGTCTCAACATTTATCGATATCTACTCCTTGAGATCTATCGATTGGCGTTAAAAGTATTGCATGCAACATGCTCTATGCAGAGATAACTTGCAAAAACACTTTCGCGTAATTTTTGAAAAATCTTCTTGGGCCTGTATCTCGGCCGTTCTTGACTTTGAGGGCCCAGGACCCTCCTCCCGGAACGATTCAGGCCGAGAGCTACAAAATGACATATCGCATGTGCAGAATGGAGCTATCTACGAATTTAGCCAGCCCTCCAAAATCTCGGCGACAGAACTTTCGTTCCAACCTGATATTAGAGAAATGATCAGAACCCTAAAATTCGTATTGTCACAAATTTTCAGATTTTTCTGATGAGTATTTTTTTTTGGAGATAATATTTCGTGGTACGCAACTTTAACAGCCATTTAAACCCCGAAAATCGACATTTTAAACTTTCAAAACTATGCAGCTCTACTAATTCGACTACGCTCTTTTAGATGGCGTCAAAAAAACAGGGTCCAAAAAAACTGTACCAAGCTAGTATCGGGGCCGTTCGGGTGACTCGGAAACCGCCTTTTAAGCGCGTA